GGGAAGAGAAGGTGAAAGGCCGATGCTTCCCCCCCCCCCCTCTCTGAATCCGCCTATATTTTCAACTTCCCCTCCGACCACCGTGGGATAAAGGAATCATCGGCAACCTTGCCTACTGATGGTCGCTGTTATCAGTGTGAAATTGTTCGGGCATTTGCTTTTTATAGTGATGAAATGCAGGGGTGATAGGTTAACTTTGGCATTACTTTTTACTGAATAAATTTGTGAATCTTTCAGGATGCGCTTGTTTTGCCAGTCCTGAGTGATGGAACTTCTACTGCTTGGCGCCTTTTGAGAACTGTTGAGAAAAATATAAATCATAGGTGAGTCGTTAAAAAAAACATATAAACCATGAGTTCCAACATTTTCCGAAGGGCTATTTCAACGTGAGTTATAAAATCTTGATCTGAGGCTGAAATAGCGCAGAGAAATGTGATTAATGTGGAAATGTGATTAATTTTCAAATCTGCAAAATTCCTTAGGCCTTTGCAGTCTGCTTTGCAGTTTGGTCCTAAAAGACGCTTAAGTTGAAGCGCTGGCAATGCTTTTTTGGGCTTTGAGTTCCCCACTTCAACTGCTTTAAAATGAAAGAAATTGAGTACAATGCATTGGCGCTTTTGATTTAAAAACAGAAAAAAAAAACTGGCCGGAGGTGAATAGTAAAGATACGGATGGATGTTACACTGGAGCAACGGCTCTAAATTTTTTCAGTAGTGATCGGTACAAAAACTATAATGGTGTGGTGCATAGGGGGTATTGCGTAATATATCAAATAATGATTAATTTTTGTTAAAAATAGATTAAAGATCAACTGCGTTAATATGACGCAATACTTCTGTCCCTGGTTCAAACTTTGACCACCCTACCCTCATTAAACTTCCGATCTTTGTCGCTAGGGTGTAAAAGCACTCCTCCCATCGCCGGGATCTTCATTATTTTACCTATCCACCACTGCGACCTATTTCTTCTATTTAACCAATATTCTTATTCTGGGAGGCTTCGGCTCCGCAGAGCTTTACCACGTTTTACATTTATTCCCGCTTCGAACGTATTCTCGCTTTATTATAAATATGTATATAGGACGCGACGTCTTACACATCCATACACGCACATACAAACGAGGCACACGCTAGTTTAATAAATTAAAAATTAGGGTCGCGATAGGGGACTGATTGCCTAAATTGATAATTAGGTGTTTTTTGAATGTTGGCTACAAAAACACTTTTTGTTATTAAGTGTTTTTATCAGGCCATTACTTCAGAAATTATGGTTTGGCCTACCTGTGGCCGCAAAAAAATTTTTTATCAGTTTAACTCACTTTGGCCGCCCCACTTGGACCGTCCACTTCTGAGTCGACCTTCAAATGGCTGTTACTTATCATTCCTCATGTTTACTTCGATTGTTACCCAGTTAAATGTGCGGCAAATTACAGGCGTTTGTTACTACGTGCACTGGTGCAGCAGGCGAAGGAAGGTGAGCTGACGGAACGGAGCGTCAAAATTTTGCTAACGAAATGCAGCAGTTCGGAGAATGCGAATATTGTATGGATGTTACTCGATTTTCTGAGCAGCACCTTCAAAGTAATATTTTTGCTACTTTCTTGCTGCGTTACATAATTTAAATTTCTTCATAACTTGTCGGACAGATGATTTTAGTACTCGTCCAGTTCAGCCGATGCTTGGCTTGTCATTTTTTTTTCGCCTCAGGAAGACAGCTGAATTTGAAATCTTTTAGTCGCACATAAGTAGGGAACATTCCCTTAAAATTCCAGCCTCCCAGCTTTTCTTGTTCCCGAGCTAGCAATTTTCTCGCCAAAACTTTCACAAGCCCGTACGTGAGACTCGAGCGATGCCAAGGAGTTGAATTGGAATCTTTTGGTCGTACCTGAGTGGGTGGGAAACATTCCCCTAAATTTTCAGCTTTCTATTTTTTTTTCGCATTCAAGCCAGCAATTTCCTTGTCAAAATTCTCATGTGCCTGTGCGTGAGCCCCACTCGGTTCCGAGGAGCTAAATTTGAAATCTTCTGGTCGTACAGCGAGAAGAATGGTCGTACACAAGTTGGAAACTTTCCGGTGAAATTTTAGTTTTCTAGCTTTTCTCGTTCCTGGGTTACCAGTTTTTCTGCAAAAATTTGCACATGCCTGCACATGGGTCCCGGGCGCTTCTGAGGAGCTGAATTTGAAGTCTTTTGGTCGTGCATGGATAGGGGGCATTCCCCTAAACTTTCAGCTTTCTGGCTTTTCTCTTTCCCGAATTAGCAGTTTTCCCGCCAAAACTTTCGTGTGTCCGTACGTGAGATGTAGACGTGCGTGACAGCTGGTATCGCGTTCCTGGGGTCGCACTTGACCAGGGGACACACCAAAATCTCACCACCAAAGCTTGCGTGGTTACCGAGTAGAAATACCTGGACAGACGAACACGCACACACACATGCACACACACACGCACACACACACACACACGCACACACACAGAGGATCGTCGCAGTTTGCGTTTTTGCTGCCTATCGCGGTGCTGTAGCGCTGCACTTTAAAAACGCATAAAAAACATTAAATTTGGCGAAAGCGACTGAAGTTTGGCGCGATAGCGTTGATAAATATTGCATTTAAGTTGGAGAAGGCTCTATTTTGGACCAGGAACGCTGAAACTGTAAGAAATGGACTGCTAAAACCCGCAACGGGCAAATTAGTCCCTCCATCTTGGCTGCTTTACCTCCAGGACACGAAATTTGGAGTTTTTTTATCTTTTCTTTTCAGATTGATGCATCTCCAGTGGTTCGCTTTTGGTCAGCACTTGATCACAGTGATCAGTGTAATTTACTAGGCTATGTGGCAAATGTTATTGCAAGTTGCGCTGATCGAATGAACGAAGTCGATCGAATTCAGCTTACAGAAAACTTTGGCAACAATTTGATCGGTTATAGGTCGGTTTTATCCCAAATGAAGATTTTGTTAAATTTCAAGACTATGAAAATTTCCATCTTTTTTCTTTTTTTGCAAAAAAATTTTTGCTTTTTTTCCTTTTTTTTTGCGGTAAAATTTTTGTTTTCTTTTAAAATTTTGTCCTATTTTTGCTCGTTTAATTTTGATTGGATAGGTGGAAAAATTTCTAGCTTCTTAGTTGGAAATCATGTTGCGAACTGACAGTTGCCCCAGTTTTTTTGCTAAAAAGATATCGAATACACTTATTTCACATATATATTTGCCTTTTCGTTCTACACCAGTCGTGATGGCAATTGAGTTATTTAAATCGTAAATAAGTCCGCTGCATTGATAAATCGCAAATTTTACTGAACTGAAGTTTTTCTGAGTTTGCGGGCGCAGCTTAAAGTGAAGAAAGTCTTTTTTATTTTCACTCGATGTATGTGTCACACTAGCACATTAACGCTGCCGGCTTCTTCACATGTATTAGTTTCGACAGTCTTTTTGCAATCACTGATTGTTAAGCGCGCGTTAAGGATTTTTCAAAATTTTAAGAAAAAAAAGGATTTTTTAAAATTTCAAAAAAAAGAAAGGATTTTTCAAAATTTTTTCAAAAATCTCGCAAGAACCTAGTAGGGTTCCTGCGATTTGTTTGAGTACTAACTCTTCAAATTGGCTGTACTATCTTCTTCCTTTTGGATTAAGTTTTGCTTTAATGGAGCGTCCCCTGTCCAAGTATTACTTGGTTGCACAATTAACTTCCCAAACTTTGAGGACCAGTATGTCACAAATTCTAGCTATTCGGGGTTTCCGAGCGATCTTGCTACAGCACGAAATACTGTAAAAATGTTTCGCCCTTGAAAAAATGGTAGCCATAGAAGAAGTAAGAAATGTTGCGGCTAATTGTGTGTGTGTGTGTTTGTGTCGATGAGAATATTTGAAAAAAAAAATCCGTCAGTTTCTACTGTGCAGCTTTGCGCAATTTTAGTGCCCTAGCTTTTCTGGATGCCGAATTCAAAGTGAGTGACAAAACGTAACATAAACATACCTACACGTACAGACACGCACACACACACACTCACACACCACACACACATACACACGTACACACACACAGCGTACACACACATTTCACCTCATCATGTGTTTTTGGATTTCATCAGTGATGCAAAATGCAGATGGATTAGTTTTGTTACCAACTGCAGTTATGCAGCCAAAAATCAAAGGGCCTGGCGCAGTTATATCCAGCGTATGGAACTGCCCTGTTCTAATTTTTTGGGCGATCTCGGCATTTCTTGATGTTTTGCTTCGAAAGTATATTTTCCTCCATCATTTAGGCGTTTACACAAAAAAGTATCGTTATATTTTCAGCGACGAAAAATTTAATCTTTTTTTTATTGTTTTTCTGTAGGACAAGTGAATGCTATACCGTACAAGCGTACCATGCATTTGCTCGTCTATGCCGAGGAGTTGGTGAAGAAGCCCCCGGCGCACAGCAACTACTGGAATTCAATCGAAATTTGATTGAGAAATCTCTCAAAACTACGCAGAACATCATTTTACGCCCAGTCGATGCGATCAGCAATATCCCGCTTTCTCAGGAAAAGTAAAAGATTTTTTTTGCTGTTTTTGACTATGGTGGGCCTCAGTGAGTGATACTTATCTTGAAAAAATGTAGTATATTCGGATGACTTCGAGACGATACACGTACCTAAAAAGGTGGGTGGTAATAGACAGAAGCAAATTATTCTGGGTGAGCTCTCACGCATTGGTAATCTTATGTAGCTGCATCTTATTGACGTCGAAAACTCCATATTTATTAAGAGAAATTTTGGTGATCCTTGAGATTCTTTAACACAAAGCAATGTTAACATCAACATCTCTGGTTGTGCTGGATAAATACGGGGTTGCGTTTGCAAGTTGAAATTTGCAATTTGTTAACATTCGTTCTGCTTGCTACTTCTGCTGCTGTGTATCAGTGAATGGAATTTACTCAATGAACCGAAACGTCTTATCTCACTCTTATCTCCTTCTCTCATATTGTAATTTATCGCGCCTTCGCCATTTAGGCTTCCAGAGTTTACTTACATGAATAAGCATATGGTGTAGTTCAGTATCGCCGATCACTTTGAGGATTCCCAGTGATAGTTTTGGAAATCCTATGGGGATGGAGAGGAGCTCAGATGTTGCTTTGCGGGCAGCATTTTCAGAAGGGGGATGAGGGATACAAGTCAGAAGCTCGAGGCAAGAACTGGAAAGAGCAGTGACTGGAAAAAGACAACACAGCACTTCAAATAAAGCAGGTCAGCATATTTTCTATTTTCAGTGACCAAACTGCGCAACTTCTTGTACGAATGATAAGTTTACTGGGCACGGCAATCCAGTACAGTTCCAGTTTGCTGAAAAACAAACCAAAATTATTCGATATCATGCGATTGATCATTGCTTCCGACGTAATACAGCAGCAGATCACACAAACTGGTCTCTCGAGCTTTTTTTTTTACATTTCTTTTTCCATCAACTGATTTTACTTTTTACCATTTGCTGAATGAATTTATCCCTCTTCGTCCCACCACTGCCCTCGGTAATTAGACCGTTTTTCCACCATTTAATATGCGTTTTTTGCAGCTGTGCAACGCAAAAACGCATACTGACGAGGGGTTGTCTGTGTGTCTGTATGTGCATCTGTCACGTACTTTCATCTCAAAACCTATAAAAGCTGCAGGGCTGAAATTTCGGGAACTTAATCTACATGCACGTGC